TCTCCCCAGGAAGTCTCGAGCTCTTTCCCCCACTCTTGGTATGTTCTTCATTTCACTCTTAAATATTCTACATTCCTTCACTCAAATCATGATCATTTACACAAATATTCACTTATTTGTTCTTCGGATCTTCAAATCACCAAGCATCTTTCAAGTGTTCTTGACTTGAAGCTCTTCATCTTCAACCTTCTATTCTTCAAGAAATCACAGAAGTTGAGTTCATACCCCTATCTTTTCACGTTTTCTTCAAGTTTTAAGGGGGAGAATACAAGTGCAACACCAAAAACATATTCTAACACAACCAACAGCTTTCAACAGAAAAGTTATGGTCCATTCTCGAACTATTTTGATCATCTTAAACTTAATATTTTTCAAAACTATTCAATATGCATTTAGTTCGGGTTTATACCTTTCTAATGACCATTTTCACATGTTCATACGATTTGTCTACAATTTATGGCGATTTTTACAAAACTACCTATCATTTCAGAAATGATTTCGGACCAGTCAGTGAATATGGACATTTTCACACTGGTTAGAGACCTCTAAAAATCATAACAAAAATTTTGAACAAACTATACACATTTTCTAAACTCTCAGAGTTTACAGATTTAGTTTTGGACTTACAGTGATTTTTCTATGAACTTTCTAAAAACAGGTACAGAAAAGTTTAAAACTAGTAAAATAGTTTATAAATTTATTAACACTTTGTAACATGTTGAGCAAAGTGTATAACAATGTTTTGCTATATCTTGAATGTACTTTCATGTTAGTTTACCTTCATGAAACAGAATTAGTCATTCATCATAAGGATTTTCATTTATTACAAGCATATAGGATAAACTATAATAAGTATAGTTTATGGTTTGTTACAATACAGACAGGGGTTTACATTCACTGCAAACATTTTAGAATAAACTATAATATGTATAGTTTATGGTACATTAACACTACCAACATACTAAGGAAGGCTCCACTTACACTACAAAAAGGATTTTCATTTATACTACACGTAAACTCGTTGAATCAAATTTGTGAGACGTTACTTCATTGTATTCTTTAGAATACTGGTTAAAGTCCTGTATTATAACCATAGTCTCATGTAGGGAGAGCATGATACTTGTGTATAGATTTATATTGGGACTGACAATCTCGCACCTTAGCTGCATGCAACAGCTAGACCGACAGGTCTGGGGTGACAAATGTCAAAACATTCTGACGCCCGGAGTACGTCGTAACAGGCTTACTATGTCAATTGCACGGTTATAATAACTCACATAGGGATACAACGACACATATAGTTTACGGAAATTCTTGCATTCAAAGGGGTTTTAATTATTTAAAACTACATACACTATCATAAGTATGGAAAAATACTTGTACATTTCAGTCTTTGGGTTTTAAGACTACTACTCATTTTATAAGGAAAATATTGGATTTTTCTTGAACATACACTACATTTACAAAGAAAGGTTTTCAATTCTACATACAAAAGCTTATGCACTCACCAACTTAATTGTTGACACTCTTTCAAAATTACTTGTATTCTCAGGTAATCAATGTAATCAGATAACTACCTGCTTTTGAGGATGGAACGCAACGGCGTTAGACAAACCATTTTATCATTATATTGTAATCGATTTTGAAACATGTAACTTTTTCGATTATATTTATGATGGTTGTATTTACTTTGATCACTATTATACTCGTTGTTATGATACTATACATGAAGTACTCCACCCCCGGACGTTTCCACCATCCTTGGTTTGAGGGTGTGACAACGGGGTTTCTGCATCCGCAGTGTATCAGGGATGTATATTGGAGATCTTCGGGATGCTTTATCCGATTGATTTGATCCATATCCCCATAGGGGATGTATGCGTGATAGTGGGTATGAACTTGCTGAGCAAATTTGGTGCCATGATTGTCTGTGAGGGCCAGTGAGTGGTAGTTCGAACCCCAAGTGGGGAAGAATTGGTTATCTATAGGGAGTGCACCAGAGTTGGTTCAGGGTTTTGTTCAGCAGCCAGGGCTCATTAGTATACTCAGCACATGTGTGCAGGTTACTTGGCTTATGTGGTTTATACTCCGGTTAGGGATCAGATTTCAATTTCCAAGGTTCCAGTTGTCAGGGAGTTTGCAGATGTATTCCCGGAGGAGTTACCCAGTGTGCCTCTTGAGAGACAGGTTGAGTTCAGGATTGATCTTGTGCCAGGTGCGGCCCCGATTTCCAAGGCGTCATACCGCTTGACACCGCCTGAGATGCAGGAGTTGTCATCTCAACTGTAGAAGATGTTAGGCAAGCAGTTCATCATACTGAGCAGTTCTCCGTGGGGAGCGCCGATACTGTTCGTCAAGAAGAAGGATGGTTCACACCGAATGTGCATTGATTACATGGAGTTGAAAAAGTTAACGGTGAAGAACCGTTATACCCTTCCGCGGATTGATGACCTCTTTGATCAGTTACAGGGTGCATCTTGGTTCTCCAAGATCGATCTGAGGTATGGGTATCATCATGTGAGAGTGAGAGAGAAGACGTGGAGAAGACTGCATTCCAGACTCGTTATGGGCATTACGAGTTCGTTGTGATGCCATTCAGGCTCACCAGTTGTGGGGTGAGAAATCCGATTCGTGTTAGTTTGATTTTGGAGCGGTCCAAACACGCATCAGAAAGCTAGACAAAATATTAAGGGTATAGTTTTGGATATTGTATGGTTTTGTTCATCAGTTGTAACATGCCTTAGGGCTGCAAATCCCCTAATGAAGGTTCTTCTGTTGGTCGATTCATATTCTAAACCGGAAATGGGTTTCATTACAGTAAATGCAAAGAAATAAATTAAAGCAAACTTTAAAGATGTTCAAGCAAGGTATTTGAATATTTACATTTGTTTGTTTATATTTTAAGGTATTAATTTAAAACCATATTCTCATATTTCTTGTTTGTATATATTTTTAAATACAAACCGATTGATGAGATCATTGATGAAAGATGTTGCAATCAACTAAATAGGGCACTCAATGTGGCAGGTTATTATTTTAATCCAGTGATGCAATATAATCTTAATTTTGAGAATACATGTTGGGTTAAAGGTGGATTATATATGTGCCTACAAAGAATTACAAATATCAACATTATTGTTTTATTATATTGTTTATCTTAATTTCAGTTATTTCTTTATTTTATTGTTTAGGAACATTCAAAAAGAAGAAATCGACATCATCAATAAAAGATGAATGATCTTGTGCATTTGATATAAAACTTGAAGTTAAATGAAAAAAAAAGGAAAAGAACATGATGTAACGGAACCTAACACATTGAACCTTGATGATGTTAGTTTCGAGGATGAGTGGATGAGTGAATGAGTGAATTATTGAAGAGGAGTCTTCTAATGATCATGTAAATGAAGAGCGGATTAATCATTTTGATGGTTCAGGTTCAAGTCGTTACAAGCCTTTGATGATGGTGGAGATGATGCCTTTCTTTCATCAATTGTGTTGGTTATTCATTTATTCAACGATTTTAAAATTGACAAAGATACATTTTAGTTCTATAAGTAGTGATTTACGTTCAATGCATGTGCGGGTGGTGAAAGAGATTTAGGAAAAGATGATGTTTTGGATTTAGAAGCTGACAATGATATGGATGCATGCTTTGTTATGCTAGATTAGATTGGATAATATATTTTTGTTATAACTAATGTTTTATACATTTTATAACTTTTGAAGGATAAATTGATTGATGGATATGCACTTTTTATGGTTTTAACTTATAATTGTATCATTTTTAGTAAGATCTTGCGATCCAGATCTCGACCTTACGATCCCAATCTTGTAATGACAATATTAATCCTACTTATGATCCCGATCTTAACAACATTGCATTCACCATAAGCACTCCCTTAAACATTAATGCACATTTACTTATTAAGAAAGGGGTCTTGATCATGATTATAAGTAAAAATCACATACACCATGTTTTCTACATACCAAATCAATTTAATTTTTAGTAAGTAAAAACTTACTGGACAAGAATCACAACCCTCTTGATCGCTCAAACCCTTGATTAAACAACTTAACATAATGATGAGGATGAGGATATGTACGTCTTTTGAACAAACAATAGGTCAAAAATGAGTCTATGTTCCATCCTTTATAGGTTGTATATCAAACAAAGTATAAGAGGAGCTTGATCATGAGATGAACATTTTTCGCCACCAGACTCAAAAAGATGATCTATATATACCAACCACATATATGATTCACTAGAACAAAACCAATAATAAATGAACACACTATACATTGAAAATCATTCTCAAAATATACATCTACTTTGCCACCAGTCAAACTCTCTCACCTCACCTACATCTAATCGTTCAAAGGAAGTACAAAAAGCACATACATGAATATGAGCACATCCAAAAGAAACCCATTGCAGCCTGCACATTGAAATTAGTAGTATAATTTTAGAATTAAAGTAAGCTAGTTATAGGGTATAGGCAGCAGTTTGGTACACAAGATTCTCCTCTCAAGGATGTGGTGCTTCAGACATTTAAATTGACTAATAGTAGAACACATTTATTATTTATTATATGTTATATTGTTATGTATGAGTATGACTGGAGTGCGTATGGTACTCACCAGGATATTCCGTCTGTGATGTTGGTAGTGCAGGCAATGACATCTCTGCCAAAGATTAGATATTATGTATCATTTCACATGTTGCATAATTAATTTGAGATGTAAAAATTCAGCACAAGTACACAAGGAGTCCAATCGACATTGGTATTGAAACTCCCACAGTACACTGCTACTGGATCTTTCTTTATTTTTCTCATTGGCTGTTGGCTGTTGGCAGTGTATTTAGTGGATTGATGATTACTTTACTTACCAGGAGCACAAAGAGAGAAGGAGGCCATAGATGACGAAGAAGGCCATGGAGCAGCAATATTGTCGCTCAAGTCACATGTAAAGCTGAACCCGCTTGAGTTGTCATACACCACGTCTGCAGGCATGCTTCTAAGTAGACACCCTGCTGCATTCGTATTTATATTTATATTTATATTTATATCAATCAATAACATCCATCTTCCACATAAACTAAACCCTGCCTGCCTATGGTTTAAGCTAATCACTTGGGTTTAGGGTTTAACCAAACCTGTTTGGCTGTCAATGTTTAATTAAACGTTTAGCCCAACCTGTTGAGTTGTGTTCTGTTCTGTTCTGTTAGATAAACAGGTTGACCCACTTTTTTTTTCCAACCCAATATTTTTATAAACTGTAAAGCACCCACTGATACACAGATTCAACTTAAAACATAAACTAAACAGAAAAAGTTTGGCTTTAACCCCAAAAAATAGTTTAGTCTTTTTTTTTTTTTTTGGTGGTGGTGGTGGGGGAGTCAGCTTTTCAATGTTTTTTGTTATTCGATACTAAGGTTGTAAACAGCAACAAAGATATCAATTAAATACAGACTTTTTGAGTCATAATCCATGAAAGCATGAAGAAGATATTTGTTGCGTTTCATAACATATAATAACAAGAAGCATTTTACAAGTATGTATTTCATAACATAACTACTTGGAGTGGAATGGAAACTAGAAAGAGTATAAAACATCAATCAAGTCCATTCCGGTTTATTTTCTTTTTTAAAACAAAAAACCAAACCAGCCCCACTATTTCATTTTAGTTTTTGGGCTAATTGCTAGAAACAGCAACATACTTTTCATTTATTTGTTTATTGTAGCATCCTAATGCCATTTCTCTATGGTACTTCCAATTTATTTCTTATAGCCAAATTATCTCATTATAATTTCAACTTTTTTTCTTATCAGTATGCTTTAAAAAATTTATCTAACTATGATACAAATGCTATATCTGCTATTTCTTGCATTTAACCCTTTAAAAACCAAACACCAAAACTTGCAGCTATTTAAAAAGGCTTTGTTTTCCATTTCAGAAAATTGATATGCTAGTACAAAAAATAAAAAGAAGAGTAAGGATAGGGGTAGGGTTTAAGGTGGTCACCTTCTTCTCCATAAGCTGCTTCGTCACCAAAAGTCAAAGTTGCATACAGAAAAGTAGAAGATGAGACACAGAAAAAATAAGTAGGAAGTAGGCTGCTTGCTTATTATATAAGTAAGAATTATTTACCTTGTAGACTAAAATCTTTCAAGTCAACATCACAAAGCTCATAAACATCAGTAAGTACTCCGCCTTTGCGTAGCATTGATCCAAAAACGGATGCACAGATTATTGCTTGTTGGTTTGTAATTAACATTTGCCTTTGTACTCCCGCAATGTAAGAATTTAATGAACTACAGCACAACGGACTGGGGGCACCCAAATTTCGACAAGCTTTTATCACCTCAACTGGCTGCTTGAATTCCAAAGGGCAAACTGCATTTCCAATTGTTTATTATGAAATACCATCTAACTTACATTTCTTTCTGCTATCACATGCTTTTGAAAATCTAACCATTTATAACATTTGTACTTTCTTTTTGACTTTAGGACTTAACAAACACATGACTTAATCGGGCAAAGCAATATGTGAGTCGGTAGAGAGAACGACTTGATAACGAAAGTCAAGAAAAAGAGGCACTCCAGTCCTCATCAAGTCCTAAGTCCTAAGTCCTAACCTTTTACAAACTTCCCCTCATTTACTCCATTTCACGAAATAATGTTTTAAACATCATTTATCCAGACAAACAATTTATCCAACTGTCAATGAAGCACTAAGGCCTGAAGGCAAACAGTTCGAGATCAATATGTAAGGTGTTGCATCTTTTTTACTTGACATGAGCTGATTAATATATTATATACATACATTGACTTGATGCGGAACGAATGAGTTAATAAAGTCAAGGAAATAAGGATGTTTTCCTCATCAAGTCCTAACCTTTGACAATTTTTGATTAATTTCTTTCTTTCCTTCATATATATATATATATATATATATATATATATATATATATATATATATATATATATATACATGTGATTTATGGACAACATTAGATGGGAAGTAGGTGAGAATACAATACATAACCTTTTCCTTGGTGTGAGTAAGAAAAGAAAAAGAAAAGGAAAGATACCTTTGTTAACTTTACACGCAGCCAATAATCGGAAAGCAGAATCGGCAGCCTCGGATGGAAGTTTCCTTGAAAGCCATGAAAAGACAACTCCTTTGCAGTCATTTAATAGATGAATATTATCGGAATCGGATGCCAATGAAGATATCTGAAATGCAGCCTCCGCAATTGCAGGTTGACATACTGATCTGCAACACTCCTTAAGATGATCAATCACACTACAAGCATTCAATAATTTGCTCGTGTTTACTGTCCTCTCAAACGTATTTACATCCTTCACAGGACACGAACCACCCGTTAGATTTGATGATTGGAAAGAACAAACAGAGCTGTTTGCACCTCTGCTACCCAAAACCTCCACAATATCCGAGAAACAATCATCAGCGGTGCTATTTTCTAGGACTAAAACATCCAAACTTTTAGTGAAATGCCCTTGAAATATGTGGAGTGAGCTACCAAATTGTGGGCAACATATCACGTTTGCTACCAGTGGTGCTAAAAGTTGAGAACAATCGGATGCGGTTTTCTCTATGATATTTGAAATGGAAGAGAAATTAAAGGGGCATTTGCCCGTTAACACAGGTTTGTATGTCTTTGGGAAGGCAGGGTACATTGGTGGCAAAGTTTTCCCCAGAAAGGGGTAATGTGGTAAAACTGAAGGTGATATTTCTATAGGCTCAAAGATTCCAGAGCTAGGAAGGCTAACTAGTTGAGACGTAGACGTGGGGGGACTGGGAGGTAGCTTCTCCTCTGACATTACATATAACAAATTGGATGAACAGACAGTCAACACAAACAGCTGAAACCACAAAGATCCTGCATGCATGCAAACAAAACAGATGCCAAATTTCGTTAGATAGCAACTTACTCTAATTTCTTTGTGTTTCTTTCTATTACAACTTTCTACTTGTGTGACTCTTTATTGTTAACATTGTTGTTTGAAGAATCTATCCAACTATAGCATTCTACTTTGATACTTTCAACTTTTTTTCTTACTTGGACATTATACATTGAAACATCAACCCAATTAACTTAAGGTGGCTTTGTATTCAAAGACATTGCTACAACTGGGTAGTATTCTTCAGAATATAATGCTGTAATAGGAAGAAGTGGAAGTATGATGCTATAATAAAATTTAAAAAAAAAATCAATGGAAGTAGACTGCTACTTCTCACATTTAATCCTATGCTCATTGGACACTCCAGTCTAAAGCTTATATAAATGTTGCCCATGATATAATTAGGCAGAATGACATCATTAATAATAAATTTCATTATTAAAAAACGTACCCTTCAGAAGAGTGGCAGCCTTGATGCAATCCATAGCTTAACTACCCCTCCGGCAACATGAATACTGCAAAAACGTTCTCGAGCTGTAAAAAGAAATTTCATCGACAGCTCAGAGACAATAAAATATATATGTAAGAAGCTCTATATATATATATATATATATATATATATATATATATATATATAACATCTTTCCATCAAGAAAATGAATTCTGATTCTGATATATAGTGACTTGCGGTGAGCTATATAAAAATAAAAAATAAAAAAATAAGCCATTTCTTATGTCTATGCAAAAAAATATCATTTATCTTGGGATGGAGAGAGAATAGTAAGAAACAAATAACAATATTGCCATATCTTGTCCATCTAGGTATTAAAAACAAAGCTCTCTAGATTAGAATCTGATTATAGCAATTCCCTAGTTAGGAAGTAGTTGATGAGATCCCTTCATAAAGTAAGCAAAACGATATACTAATCCTGCATTGCACCATGTGATGTCGGGATAAATGATGTTTAAGAAATATTTCAGAAACTAAAAACACCACCCTTGGGGAAATAAGTGAGAGGAGAAAATAAATGTGGGCAAATTGGTAAAAAGTTAAGACTTAATGGGAAAGTATTGACTTTCTCTATTAAGTCGTTCTTTCTACATTAGGTAAAAAAAACACCCATATATAGCCTACAGAATTACGTCATATTCCCATTAAGTCCATTAAGTCAAAAAGAAACAACATCAACATCGACACCAAGCAACCAAGCCTTATATATATATATATATATATATATATATAAATATGGATAATCTTGCAGCAGAAACAGCAAAACTCTCTTGTATCTCTGGTGCTTAATCACGAAAGAAGAGAATAACCGGACCAGTAAATGGAACATTAAGGTGTTAGTTTTGGTAGTACACAAGAACTAATTATGTTTAGATACAAGAATTAAAATTTTAATATCATTTGTACTTTGATAATCAAAGGATTGAGAAAATTCCTCAAAATTAATAGAAGTTTACAACGGTTTGTCCGATTTTTCTGCAAAAGGGTTATTCTTCAACCCGATCCAAGAGCATCATATGAGATGTAAATCTTGGGGTGGGGGTTGGAAGAATAGTAAACTAGTAGCACTTTCAAAACTTATCCCTGTCTTTTTTGTCAAGTGCCTAACCAAACTTGAAACTAGAACATCTCATAAATAATTAGAAAAGGCATTTTCCCCATGAAGAATAAGAACTTCTCAGAATACTTGGTAAATCTATTAGGCTTTAAATCATATCATATTTTCTATAAAGTGGTTCAGACTTTAAATCTATTAGGCTTGGTTTTATAAAAATGTTTTCTCCTAGAGTCTAGATTACTTTATATTTGACAATTAACATGAGCTTTTTAATTAAATGCTAATTTTTTACATTGACCGGGATATACACGATGCGCTTTTACTTGCACATAAGCATTTAGGCCGCATTTGTTACATTGTACTAGACTAAACAAGCTTTATAGGCCTATTTCTGATGATGAGGGTTAGTAAATCGTCCCATCTTGTGTGTTTGTGTGTGGGTGTCTCATTATATTAAAGGGAACTTGATTTAGGAGCCTTTTTTTACATTAAATTAAAATCTTATGCCAGCAACAAAAACCTCAAACCATCTACTCACCAAAAGATAAGCAAACATAAATAGCAACAAATGAGCTATCAGTCAAGTTCTTCAGATTAAACAGCTCTTCAACATCTCCAAACGTCAACTGTGTCTTTTAATCAGAAAGCTTAGCAACTTCTCGACCCATCACATGTTTCCAGCTAAACTACAATACTTTTTCCAGTGTTGAGCTACTAGGTGTTGCTATGAGTACTAAAAATGAATTCAATGTCTGTATTGAAAGCGTGAGCTACCAATTAAACAAGATATTGCCACAAACGGAAAAGGAATCCAAAAAAAACATAGAAATAAAACAACTACAGAAGCATAAATTGAGACAATTTCCTCCAGAACCAATAACATGTAAGCACATACCTAAAGGTGTTGATTGGACCAAGTGTGATCTGAAGCGATTCGTTGCAACTTGTACAGCACAAGTGAATAATATAGCAATCCAGATCCTCCCTTGTCATTTATTTACAAACCTTTTTAGGGCGTTTGTTGGTATGATATCTAATAGTAGTAGCAGAAGAACTCAGACACCATTTTAGGGCATTTTTATCGATGTTTTTCTGATTGTTTTAGTGAAAAAGAGATCCTAAAAAAACCCTATGTTTGTGATTTGTGTTTTGTGTGTGACAAAAAGTGCTGAAAAGCTGAATGATGATTGGCAAGTGTGTGAGAGAGAAAGGGGTGGAGAGTAACCACCACTATGCCGGTGGGTTCCTTATTTCATGTTTAACTGCGGCTGCGGGTGCAGTGGACGGGCCGACGGCCATTGTACGACGGCCCACTTCATTTTTTAAGCCTTAGACATCCCGTCCTTCCCTTGGCCCAAAAACATGTCAAATATAGTATTTTATAGGATTACTAGATTATAATCTGCGTTAAAGTTAAATGTGAGAAACGCATAAAAAAACATACAAATGTTTATAGATATTGCATAATAATTAAAAAAAAATATGACTATTGGTATTATTGAAACATGTAGAAGATACACTGAAATCGATAAATATCTATAATCGTTGAAGGACCTCTTTGTAGACAATATTTTTTGTTTTATTAGTTGAACGACCTTCCACGTCACATATGAGTATCTTCAAACTTTATTTACTTGTGACACGGGAAACAACTACATGCCTACATATAACTAACCATGAGTGAAAACGGGTCTACGCAAATATAATCCAACATTTGATAATGACTGTCCTTGACTTTTGTTAATGGTCATAGTGAAACAAACAGCTATGGGGAATTGTCTCCGCTGAAAACGAAATGGAATTTTTTTTATCATACGGGGTTAACTTAATGCGAGGTATATAAGTAGTCTCATTGAAAAATCTGTCAGATATGATTCGAGCTTCAATGACGTGTCTTTCAAGCCTTACGATATGTAATCTAGTACCATTGCGTAGTCCTTTGGTTTGGTTGATATTACGAAGTAACATGACCGGAACACCTTTTTTTAGTATAAGTTTATGGTTGGAAATTCCAGCAGCCTTAAAACCATTCAACACATCTGGAGAGTATATCGATTCCTCAAAAGAATCGTGTGCCTCGGTCTCACATAAAGAATCTTAACTCAGATGCATTTCCCTTCATCTTTCATCAATTCTAAAATGTAGTCATTGATAGCATCCACTTCTTCTTTTGTAGAGACCAAAATAGCTTTATCTTGAAAATATGATGGATCATCAAGATGGTTTTGAAAGGATGAATAAATGGTGGATGCATTTGAATGAATATGGTCACCCGTAGAGGGAACGAGAACATCTTCTGGAAATTCAACTTCAACTTCACCATCATTAGGGCCACCAATAGTACATTCGCCAATTTTAAGAATCCATTCAGCAAATGATTTTGTCTCTTCGAAATCATTGTTTGGACAGCCGACCTGAAGCCTCATGTTTACATTCAAACGTAAAATTGTACATTCACGCCATAATCTTGATGAATGCAATGATACCTGGACAATATCTTAACGATTTCCTCTTTGTATTACTAGAAGAATCTGTCAAAAGTCACCTCCAAATACAATGGTCTTGAAGTGAAAGATATTGAGGATGAAACTCATTAATACGTTGAAGATGTCGACTCTGTGTTTCCAAACTTAGTCCAGGATTGGATTATTCTTGTGTTTCACATTGCATGTTTTGACTTCCCGAATAATAAGATTATTCAAACATCCACAGTTAATCATACTTTGGAAGTAAGTAATGAGGTAAGACTATCATGAATCTGACTGTAGATTGTCTAAGTGTTTAGACGTAGCATAAGTTTACAGTGAATTATTTGAAGAAATTCGTAATACAGAGAATGAGATTTCTCAACATAAAGATATACTTTT